CTTCTGGTTAGCAGTCAAGTCCCTTAGGCACTATGCTACCAGAGCTCCTATGGCTTAAATTCTACTATACTAAAAATCTTTCAATTATTAATAGCCACTGTGCCCTGGTACATTTTAAAAACTTTTTAGCAAGGTCCAGGACCCATATGTCCTTGTTATTTTATACCCCCTTGCATATGAATGAAGAGTTCTGGTGGTGTAGTGCCTAAGGCATCTGACTGCTAACCAGAAGACTGGCGGTTCAAACCCACCAGCCACTCCTCAGAAGGAACGTTGGGCAATCTACTTCCGTAGTGAAACCCAAGGAGGGATTGCTATGAGTCAGATCTGACTTGATGGCAATGTGCTGTATTTTTTGCATGAGTATGATTAGGACATTTCTTAAATGACATGGGTCCTTGATAATTATATTGTGCTTTTCAATTTACATTTTGGGCTAAGTGCCTGTGTTATGGTTTGCTTACAAATGTGAATTTAGAAAATTAAAAATACTCCAAGTAAGGATCTGCTAATAAAGTCACTCCTTGGAAAGAAGATGGGGCAATCTACTTCCATAGTGATACTGCCTCGGAAAACCAAGGAGGGGTTGCTATGAGTCGGGTCCGACTTGACAGCACATAACAACAACAACAACATAAAGTCTATTTATTACAACTTCTCATAAATTTTTGGATATTTCTATTTTTATTTCTTTTTCAAAATTTTAAAATTTCTTTCTTATAGGGGAAAGCATGAACGCAGTCCCCCACTACCACAAACTATGCAGTCGAGTTCCCCACATTTGGGGAAATTGCAGGGGTCATCACATCCGGAGTGCAATGGATAAGCTTCACCCTGGGAAAACCACTTTCGTGATCATGGTATGTCTCCTGCCAGGTAAAGGTAATAAATTTTTAGATATTTTTAATGAAGTCAAATGAAATTACATGGGACTAAAAAGTAATTTGAAATGTCTTAAATATGCCAAAAGCTTCCTGGGTGGAAAAAAATTAAAATTAAAACATCTTACTTAACTTTGGAGTAAACGCAAATCTTTTTCTCAACCATAGACTCAATGAGTATTCGTTAAATTAATTTCTTTAAAGTGTTTGGTGCACTGTGGCCATGGCAAAGAAGTCACTTTTTGATTACAACAAACATCTATTCATCTGAGAGGTGAGTCTTCAAAACTGCAGGTGTTTAGAATTCTTTCATGCTCATGCATTGTTGGGAGCTCTGGTGGCATAGTGCCTAAGGCATTCAACAGTTAACCAGAAGGCTGGCGGTTCAAACCCACCCACCCAAAACCCACCCACCCACTCCTCAGAAGGAATCTACCTGTCGAGATACTGCCTTGGAAATCGAAGGAGGGGTCACTATGAGTCGGCTCTGACCCGACGGCAGTGAGTCATGCGTTGTTTATAAATTTCTTGAATTCTTCCTTTACCCTCTGAACATGTGACATATCAGTAATTTGAACATAAAACACCATTTTGATAAAAACAAAGTTCAATTATTTTAAAAAGTGAAGAGAAATAAGAAAAACTTCATTCTGTCTCCAG